GTGCTACCATGGCTCTTTATAATAAATGGTGCTGTCTAAGCCATAAATATTTCTTTGGACTTTTTTTCGTGCATCCATTTGAGAGTAGAAGTACTCTGATTTCTTATAGGAAGTATAACAAGTGGCATAAAAAGTTTTAACTCCAACAGCCATTGTGATTGAAGCCACACAGCTGCCAATGATACAGCTAGCCACATCTCCTATCTGAGTTATGGCTAAGCTGTCTCTGGAAAGCATTCCACAAAAAAGCAGCCATTCAAGGAGACCAAATAAAGGTTTTTCTAGTTCATCTATACCTTGGTGAATATTCTCAACTGGAAAGTAAGGCATAGAGATAAATCACCAGGCCAAAATATGAGCAGGAATAATACAGCTGATCAACAGATTAGAGGACAAAACTCTAAAAACAAGCAGCAAAAAGAGATGAAAAATGGTGATTCCAAGGGAACAATCCTGTTGGATTCCATGATCCACGCAGTACACATACGAATAAGATCTTCATGGCTCCACAGATTAGCATTGTATTTCTGAACCTTAGGAACTGGTTGGTTTAGGAACATGATGTCTGGCTGGGGAATTCTGGGAGTTGAAGTCCACACATCTTAGAGTTGTCAAGGTTAAAAAACACTGGATTAGGGATTGTCTGTTTAATATAGATTTAGATAATTTAACCCTGATTGTTTTTAAACAATTGGGAGACATTTGCTGTTCTACTGCAAATCACTTAGAGTTCTACCAATAAATCGTGCTCAATTACATGCCCGTGACTAGTCTGATAACCTGGACAATGAGACATTGCAAAGCTTCCTCTCAACTAAGAGGCCACTGAACTGCATGTACCTTCAGATCCAGCAACTAGGTGGTCAGTGGAAAGTTACAGAAGAGCAACTGTGACCTGAGGACTCTAGCACACATTTAGAGGTGAAGAATTTGTTTGCATCTTCTGTGTTTTATTAATGAAGCACCCAAAGGTAGGAATCAACACTCAAGTTTTATTACAGAAACAACCAGCTGTAATATCATAATGCCATCAAACCTAATGGGAAGGTGAGTGGGGAGATTAAAAAGTGAACACAATCATCATCTGAACCAAGTGAAAATAGTTGGATGCATATCATGATTTTTCTCATTTTGCAGCCAAGAAAAGGGGAAAAAAAACCTTGTAAAAGACAGAACATTGTTCTTTGGCTGCCACCAAGAGCTAATTTCACAGAGCTGTTGGGGTGGGGGGTGGGGGAATGAAGGTAATGAAGTTTAAAAACAGCATTTTTCTACTATCTTTATGATCTCTGCATACTGGGAAAAGTGAATTCATAGCAGACTAGGAGAATAGGAAAGTGTCAGTAGAAATAGTAGCCTCTCAATGTTACCAGTATACATATTTCAGACAAATGTGATATTAAAAAAATCATAGTCTACAATTATAACCTTTTATAGAAGTATCTTCATAAGAGACTCTGAGTAACAAGTATCAATAGTAACTTTGTCCTTTTGTTCTCTGTAGAGAGCTTTCAGTCACTATATGAAATTTAGAATTAATCATAGGAAAACATTTTTTTTCTGCCCAGATCCTATGCAACCCTACTGTACATTGGTCACTTTGTGAATCAAGAATGCAAGGCTAAAATCTCTCCTGTTTTATTATTTCAATATCCAAAGATACAAATTAATATTCCAGCTTTATTATAGTAACATCTAATCATAATATCTAGTACACAACTTAATTTGCATTAGATAAAACTTCATAGGCAAAGCACAACCTCTAAACCTGGGAATAATTAATTTCTAGCCCTATAATTAAAGGAAGATTGTGAATATACAATCGTTTTGGTATGCAAGGCTACAATCAAACAAAATAGATTAATAGGGCATTATATGTATGTATGTATGTATAAAAGTTAATGAAAATTTAGCTTAAAAAAACCAGAACCAAATATATAAGAGACAGATAGATGAAATTGTACTTGTGGGCTCATTCTTTGGGGGAATAAATCTGATGGCCCTTGGGTTTACTTCTAAATAAGCCGGTGCAGAATTGCGCTGCACAACTATTAAAATAATATCACTGGCCAATTGAAGACCCAAGTGCTACAAGCACCGCATAGCTATTAAAAGCATCTAGATTAACATATCAGAACAGTAATTTAACTTAATATCAGAGTCTTTAAATTTGCCAAGAATATTTAATAAAAAAATGAACAGATACAAGATTGCAAAGTCTTTTGGACCTGAAGAATGTCATAGCAACAAAACACACCATGCTCCCTATTGCTCCTCAGGCAAACCTAAAGAGAAAGCTAAGACCTGTTGAAATACACTTATTTCCTCATATTTGTTTAAATGTTCCCATTATATGAATTAGAAAATTACACCACAATGAAATATTATGTCCCACCACAAATGATAAGACCACATCGTAGAATAATCCCTTCCCTTTCCCAGTAAAAATATTCTGAGGAAAGAGAACTCAGATCCTTGGGTCCAAGTAGTTGTTTGGGCAAAATTAGCCCTCTGTGACAAAATAAGAATGATTTCTTCAGGTAGCAAACATCTGGGTAACATTAGAGGTAGGTATTTCTCCTAAATTCCCCAGCTTGTTGAAAGCAAAGTTATATGCCGTGTCAATATGTTGACGGTCAAAATCCTTAGAATGGCCTATACAGTTTTTTCCTCCAATGAAGAGAAACAGCCAACAATTCAGGTGATTCATCCACCATTGTCCTTAACATCTGCTATAGGTATGCTGGCTCCTATACATGGAAGGAGAATGGTATCCTTAGCTCAAACAAAGAAGTATCTAGACTTAGCCTTGTCTTTGAGTTCTTTTAAACTGCCCAAAGTTGTCAATGGTAGGGAGTCATTCTGGATGCTACCTGCCTGGGGATACCCATCATCTTCTGCTACTAGTTTTAAATAAAGTTTCTCAGCAAAATCCCCCCTTTTGAGGATTTGGCCTAATGGAATTACAGGCATTGGACATTCCTCAAATGCACTATTAATCAAGTGCTGGTTTTGTTTTTTTTTAAGACTGCCAATAAGACCATTGCCGAGAGGGAACATGGAGTGCTTTTTTCCACCCTACGGAGTCACCAACATAGATGTCAAGATATGGCTATTCCTCAAAAGCCACGTGTGGTCTCACTACACATGGCGTATTTTCCATTCAGGTGAGAATCACGTTCAGATCCTTTCTTCCTGATTTGAATTTTTCACCTTGCAGTTTAAGTAAGTTTTTATTGTGGTGTTAAAATAATCCCTGCAGAATGAATGCATCTGTTATTGACTTCTTTTCGAGTAATGAAACATCTTTAGGCAAACAACCATTCTCAGAGAACACCAAGGATTCCACAGTTTCTTTTCCCTTTCTTTTTCTGTAACTGTCATTCACCTGTTTGATTTCATTTCAGTATTTAACCCAGAGATCAAGGATTTTTTTTTTAACATTCTGCGGTATACATAGGATACAAAATCAAACACATACCATTTATGGTTTGTGAAGCAGCAATCGCAAATTTTCTAAAATATGTAGGAATGGAAAGTGAAAGCAGAATAGCCGAACAGTTTAATACAAGTTCACGTCAACCTATGCAAATTTTATTGTAGAACATTAAACAAAATAACAAATAGAGAACAGATACGATTGGGATATTCTTTTCAGTAATGCAGGCATATTTTTATGCATTTATATTAAGTTGTGCTGCCTATTCTGTGTGCTGGTGTGTGTAAGTATGCACACACACACTTGTTGCTGTCTTTTTTCCAAATACTCATTCAGGATCCAGTGAAGGCTCTCTTTTCTTTTTTAACGGATAGTAACTAGGAAGGAAATAGCTAGGAGATTAACTTAAAATCGCTACTCTATATATGGGGGTATTGACCTATATATGGGGGTATTGACCCAGATTAGGGAGACCCCACATACTTGCTTTTGAATAATTACAAAGAGCAACTGTGCAGTACAAATATAGCATAATAAGTAGCTTGATCCTAAATCCATTATGCATAATTCATATATATATGCATTTTTTAATTTTAATTCTGCATTAGCTAATTATAAACCTGACAGAGTGAAACAATGCTTACTATGTTTTTTTTATTATTATTATCTTGTCACCACTGCAGGAGCCACCTACTTCAAAGAGCTCTGGTGCCTCTTTACAGCTGCAGACCTACATATTAGAATAGTGATCCGGTACTCCCCCTTGTTTTCCTAAAAGCGTGCCTGCACGTTTAAAATTAGGTCTTAACTCTTTGATGAGAATACTAGGAGCTGTAGAGAAAATACAATTTGAAAGCACTATTTTAAAACACAGACTCTGTCTATTTTAAAACACGCTCTTTCTGTGTGTAAAGAGCCTTCCCTTCCAAACTCTTAAGTATACTTTCCAAAGGCTGTTTTATGCTCTCATTAAGTCAGTTACAACTGTTTGGGAAGGTGAATCATCAGGTATCTTGAACATTTTATATAAAAGTCAGTCAGTGCAATATAAAGGCAGACAAGGAACAAAATATTTCCGACAATGGAGTGCAAATTCAGCTACATAAATTCAGAGCAGGAATAGCCTGGACCGAGAAGAGCCAAAACCTGAAGTTTGCATTGTTCATTTTAATTTCCGGTATCTCCACTTTGGGGAGTTTTTGTTTTGCTTCAGTTTATTATTTTTTTTAACTCAGTATTGGGGCTTCTGATCTGGTTTTTCCCCAGGCCACAGATTTCTGTTGGAAATCTGACTTGTTTTTCTTAAGCACTTCATTTCTAGCATACAGAGCAACAACAGTTGCTTAATAGTCATAACAGAGATTTTAATTTTCAGCATGCTAACACAATGTCTAATTATTCAAAAGTGAGTCAACTATCCTGAAGGCATACCCATATATCTAACATTGAATTTCCCCCTTCCTTGCCTTAGCTCTCTTATTTATATTGGATTTCTTTTTTAAAAAAGAGAGAGAGAAAGAGAGAGAGAGAGAAATGAAATGAAACCAATGAAATGATTTACCTGTAGAAAGCTGTTGGAGCAGCGTCTCTCATGGCAAAACTGGTTGCTTCGTTCTCAAGGTAATAAGGTACCTGTTGGCTGTGGTGATGAAGGAAAGGCGAAAGTTGGGGAGCCGACTGTAAAAAGACAACAGGGCTTGGGGGAACATTGTTCATAGAATGAAATCCTCCCAGGCTGGTGGTGCCAAACGATTCACTCGCAGGGGCATAAGTGAGGCTGGTGGAGCTGTACACTGGAGCGGCAGTGGAAAAATCGTAGGCAGCACCGTCTGGGTAGTTAAACCCCCCAGTCTTGCTGCTGTCCACATACATTTCACTGATCGGCCGTTCCAGAGGAATCTTCAGTTGTGCTCTGCTGAGAGGCTCTAATTCATTGCCTTGTATTTGGTGCAATAAGGCAACCCCGGAGGTTTTTGTGTGAAGGGTCATGGTCATAGTCAGTAGCAGTGAACACGTCGCATATCTAGGTTCTGTGCTTGAAGAAGAATCAGCAGCTGGCTATCCACCTGGAAAGGGAGCAGGAATTGAGTTGATACATTTGGCAAAAGCGTGCTCCTCAGCCATGTTATGCAATCATGTATGTATCCAGCTTATCCCAGCCTACAAGAACACACAAGCCAGGTAAGCACCAAGAGCTTTTTGGCTCTCTTTTTCTGACTCGGAGTCTAACTTTTCATCTGAGCTAATATGTTTTACAAAGGTACTGGCATTGAGCCAGGTATTTGCCTTCCCTGACATTGGTTTAAACATCACTCCAAAAACAATTGCTTCTGGATCTCCACCAAAGAATTGTTCCACTATTCGAGTCATTTAATTTTTCACTATATGTGGTTCCAGTAGTCAAAAACAGGCACGGGAGGAAAGTATAGAGAGGGGCTGACTCAAAGCTCTGTCCATTTACACTGTATTTAGTAATAAACTGGCTCCAATTTATCTCCGCTTATCTAGACTTCTTGTTTTGTTCATCTTCATGTTTGCTAGAAATATGTAATGTGTACAGTGCAATGACCCTGAGTAGGACTACAGTGTAACAGAGATACAGTATGGCAAAGTGTGTTTGTGTGGCTGCACTTGCTCCTGTGTGCAGCAGCCACAAACCATCAAATTCCACCAAACAGAAATGAAAGGGTGGACTATATCTATGTAGGAGAAAAGGCACACAAACATACTTGCTTACTGCAGTTATCCTGATTTCTCTTATTTAGCTGCAGCCCATTGCTTTTTTTAAAAAAAGAAAAAGAAAAAAGAAAGATAAGTTAAACTTGCTGTTGTCTCATACTTATTATCAGCACAAGTCTTTGATGTGAATTTAAAATGAAGGAAAATATATAGAAATGAAAACTAAACATGTACTGCTTACATAATTGCACGTTAGTTATAAGAGGAAGAGAAATCTAGCAAAAAAAACTCATTTGGAATTTTTGAGTTTCCTATTGCATACTTAGTTTGGAGAATAAAAAATACAATTTTAGAAATGTCAAAGTAAATAGATTTTGGCACACTAAGATAAAAATAATTAAAAGAGAATTAGAATATTTATTTTACTATATCAAACAGTTAACTCTATAAAAATAACTTATTTGTCAAGCCCATTTTTGCCAATGGATAACTATGTACTTCTACATCATGCATAAATGGCTATAGTGATACAATAGCTGATAAAATGTACTTTTTCCCTAATACTAAAATATACAAATTTTAGTTAGCCAATTTGAATTAAAATTATTTCAAAAAAGATTTTTATCATGTTCTCTAAAATCTGTTTCCCTAGTTAGACATATATTATATATGCACAAGACTGAACTGATAATCAGTTCTGATAAATAGTTTTAAAACAATGCTATGAATTATGACAAAATGTCTCTGTTAATATGCCACATATATTTGGCAACTTTGCAGGACACAGGTTAACAATATATGAAGTCCAATAAAGCCCTATATTTTCCTGAAATATAGCATAGCAATCACAACATAGCATTGGTCATAACTATAATTTTTCATACAACTGCTAAAACATTTCTAATTATCGTCAGTGAAAATTATTCCAAGTACTATTCTAAATCTGAAATCTTGATCTATTTGTGTAGTTTCTACTGGTCTCATCTAGTTTAAATTTTGACTGGAGAGAGAGAGAGAGAGAGAGAGAGAGAGAGAAGAAAGAAAGAAAGAAAGTCACTTACCTGACTATAGAGAGGCAGATCCTTGAGAAATTCTATCAATCTGAATACAGTACAAGCATACTTCTGAGAACAAGTGAACCAATAAGCTCTGAGTGTTCATATATTGACAGTTTTCATGAGACAGCAATGAAACTCTGCTCATGCATCTTCTGAAATTTGAAACGGAATCGCATTGCTACATAAAAGCTCTAAGTTAAAGGCTAGCTAATGCATGCAGAAAGTTTATTTGTTCAGCCAATCATGTAATGTAGCAGTATTATTTCTCTCCTACAGAAGACTAGTTAAAGAAACAGATGTTTTAGCTGGTAATTATTTTGAATTTAGCTTTAATCCTGTAGCAGAAAACAGGTTATAGATTACCACAAATGCAATTTCATAATCTCTTAACTATTTAAAAAGACCTGTATGACGAATGGATGGCTTTTTTAAAAAATGCAGTTTTATCAGGGTATAAGAGAAAGACTCACTTTGAAGTCAAGAACAAACAGGGCACATTAAGGTGTCTGCAGAAGAGGAGGTCCAGATAACGGGAAAGCGATTATAAAATAGTTGCAGCTGTGAAAAAGTGGGAAACTCAGGCTCCAAGACTAGCATCTAATAATGTACCATCCTTAATGTAACAACACACCAACAATGCCAATTTTGCCAAAATTGTTATTCTGTGCAGCACAGTTGAAATGCATGTAAGCTTAAACCCATTCATTGAGAGCATGGGGGAAACTCAAGATGCTACTGAAAGCAAGGGAGCAAGGTAGGAAATACAAAGAGAAGCAAATGGAAGAAAGGGAAGAGAAATGGAGAAGAAATTAATGCCTCTGCTTTGAGGGGGCACCCCCAATGTCTTTAGGTCTACCTTATTGCTTGTGAGTCTATGTATCTCCCTCATGTAGAGAATAAAAGCCTTCTCTGATGATATAGTTGTCCATCCAAATGAGGACTCGAGAAAATTCAGAACCTCAGTCACTGGAATTTCCATAGATGGGGAGATGGTTTATTGCAGTCATTTAATCACTATCCAAGTAGTTCTCAACTTGAAACCATTCTTTTAGTGACTGTTTAAAGTTACAACAGCACTGAAAAAAGTAACCATTTTTATGACCATTTTCACTGTTTCAGCCATGGTCACATGACCCTAATACAGATACTTGACAATTGGCATGTATTTATGATGGTTGCAGCCTCCCAGAGTCATGTGATCATCTTTTGTGACCGTCTGACGAGCAAAGTCCATGGGCAAGCCAGATTCACTTAATAACCATGTTACTAACTTAACCACTGCAGTTATTCACTTAACAACTGTGGCCAGAAAGGCCATAAAATGGGGACAAACTCACTTAACAACTGTCCTGCCTTAGCAACTGAAATTTTGGGGTCAGTTGTGGCCATAAATCCAGGACAACCTGTATATAGAGGAGAAAAAAAATAGAAAAGGGCTAATACTCTATTTAAAGAGGTCCAAACATCAAAAAGTTAATTATGTGGGATTGAGTGCCTCAGAACTCAACGGGACTTATGACAGAAGGAATCCATAGGTGTCCTTGAGTTTACAATCTCCTGTGTGTAAGTGAGTAAATGTGTGGCAGAATAGTAGCTAGTGTGTAAAATAATGGTTTGTGCAGGCAGGCCTCATTTCATTTTACACAAGGTGCCTTGTTTCATTGGCAGTTGGTTTTAATCAATTGCTATTTCAGTTAATATGCATTATCATTGTTTTGGGGGGCTACTGCCTTTTTTTGAGTTTTGTGCATATTTGAATGTGCATGTTTGTAAACATACGAATGTGTCACATATGCACTTTTGTTTTGGGTATGACATGGATTGATTGTGGTGGGAGTTGTCTACTGAGCTGAGTCCTCACTTATGATAGAAACAGGGATTGGGAATTCTGTTGCTAAGCAACATGGTCGTCAAACCCAATGTCATATGACCACATCAACTTCTGATGACAGTTCCAACTGTGGCCTTGAAGCAAATCAGCCACAGTCATTAAGTGCAAGGTCATGTGACCATGACTTATAACCTCCTGCTGGCTTCCCCATTGACTGTGCTTCTTGGAATCCAGCTGTGAAGGTCGCAAAGGGTAATCATATAAATGCAGGATGATGCAAATGTCATAAATGCGTTCTAGTTGCCCAGCACCCAAATCAAAATCATGTGACATGGGACACTGATGGCCACAACTCTGAGAACCTGTCATAAGTCTAGTTCTTCAGCACTACAGTAGCTTTGAATAGATGCTGAATGAGGGCTCGCCAAGTGAGAACTACATGTAGTTTATAGGATACTTGAATGGGTTTGTGTTCATTTCTCTCACTATCATTCTTTGAGGGAGAGTCATTTTGAAATTCAGGTCCATCTTCCTTTTGGTGGTATATTCTTTCCTGACAGAAATGGTAAGGCTTGACATCTGTCATTTACTCAAAGGCTGCTAAGGTTTTTGCAAAATCATTTATATGGTTGGCGTTGAATCATTGTTTCAAAAGTTAATGTCATCCAATATTCCCAACTATTTATAATACCAAATTTATTTAAATATGGCCATAATTTTTAGAATTTTCCATGTATTCATTCAGACATCCACTGCAAGCAACCTTTTATAAGTAGGTATTTATGCTTATTGCCTACAAAGCGGTGCAAAAACTGCTGAATAAATATGTACGTGATAGGGGAATAATAACCTTCCATGTATTTAAAGTAAAACAAATGGCTAATGAGCTCTGTTCAAGTGTAAGTAGCTACATTTCTTGAGACAAAGCAGAAAAACAAGTAATTTATGACAGAAGATCAAAACTGTCTAAATATATACCTCTCTTGATATATGCAATAATCTAGTGAGCCAAAGAGAGTTTCTATATCCACTTATTCCTTTGCTACCAATGGTGTATTTATTAATAGCATTTGAGATATAAAATATGAAATAGTGGGACAGCTGAGAAAAATAACCTGGTTGAGGCAGAATGGCTGCCAAAAACATTTACTGAGCAACTTGTTCTTCTCTACGGGTCTTTTCAAGCATATCCTATCTTGTTAAAAAATATGCTCTTTTCAAAAGCATTCTCTTGAGTAATGTGGTTACATTTTATGAGCTTCAGAAGATGGGTTTGATTATGTTGCTTATATTTCCACGATGGTTGTGACTGTAAGAGTATTCCGTCCTCAAGTGGTGTTTTTCAAAAGATTACCCACAAGTAACCCATGAAAAATGGAGATTTAGGAATTGGTCCAGCAGTATGGGTCTTCAGCAGCAGATGTGTT